GCCTTCGAACCCCTTGTGCATTGAATCGTATTGTTACTGTACTGTCTTGTGTACTGTCTCCCATTATAATGTACAGCGCTGAGCAAACTGTTGGCGCTATATAAATACTGTATAAAAATAACTAACACTATCAAAAGCCTTGTGTATATCCAGGCTCAGTATACAAACTGACCGAGAATGAAGATTTGAATCTTGAATAATATTAGTGGCTAAACGAAGATTATCTGTGAATTGTCTACCTGGGATAAAGCCAGTTTGATCTGGTTGAACCAAAGAGGTAATAACTTTGGCTAGTCTGTCAGCTAATAAACAACCAAAAATTTTGAGATCATTATTAATAACAGAAATTGGGCAAAAATTTTGTGGCAAAGTTTGATCTTTATGAGGTTTGGGTAACAGGGACATGTTAGCTAATTACATTTCTTCAGGAAAGTAATTTTCTTGAAAAATAAAGTTATATAATTTAGTTAAATGAGGAACTAAAATTGAAGACATTTTTGTATAATAAGTGGTAGAGAAACTACCTACTGGTGCAGTAGAAGTTTTAAGTGATTTAATAATGTTATTTATCTCTAGGTCAGTACACGGGGCATTAAGTCTATCAGTTTGTTGTTTAGAGAGTGCGGGAAGTGAAATTCTGTCTAACCATGATTGAGAAAATAATTGGGAGATGATTGAGGAGTAGATAGTAAGTTCTTATAGAAATCTGAAAAGATACTCAATATCTCTTGAGGGTGGCAGACTAGATTTCCCGATGCATTTCTAAGTTTGTATACATGAGGAGGTTTAGTTGAATCATTTAACTTTCTGGCAAACATGGAAGATTTGAAATTGCTATGTAAAAAAAATTTCGCCCTAGACCATCTGAGGGATTTTTCAGTATCAAATGATGATATACAGTAGTGTCTATAGCCTGCCGTTTATTTTGAATTTGATTAAAAAGGTCTGGAGAGGGAGATTGACTATGTCTATTATATAGACGGTCTAATTCTTTGGTAAGAACTCTGATATCAGACAATTTAGCTCTATTTTTTGCAGCAGCCACACTGATTAAATGTCCTCGCATTACAGCTTTAGGTGCGGTCCAAAGGGAAGTGGGAGAAATATTAGAATTTGTATTGAGAGTAAAATAATCTTCCATATATAAAGAGAGTTGTGGTATAATTTCTGGAGCTGATAACAAATGTGCCACCTGTATGGAGTAGGAGCTAAACCTATACGGGAAGTGGTGAAGGAAACTAAATGATGATCCAACCATGGGCATACTGTATGTGTATGTCTGCAGTAGAAGAATTGGCTAATAGTATAGGAGTACTGAAAATATGGTCAAAATGGGCATAACTATCATGTGGATGGGGATAGCATGTATAATCCTTTACTGCAATGTTATGTGCTCTCCATGTGTCTATCAATTGCAAACTATTCAATGAGCGAGAAAGAGATTTAGCAAATGCCTTGGTGGATGGTAAAACTCTACTTCTGTCTAATATAGGATGAGCAATCAAATTAAACTCTCCACCTATAATAAGGTGTGGAGAATGATAACGATCAAGCATTTCAAAGAATTTTTTGAAGAAAGTATCCTGGGATTCATTAGGGGCATAGACCGAGGCCATTGTAACAAGCCAACCTCTACATGAACCCTTTAGAGTAAAAAAGCGACTTTCAGGATCTTTGTAAATAATTTGGGTTTCAAAAACTAGTGAATTGCGAATAAAAATAGCCACACCACGAGATTTAGATGAATATGAAATACAGTGAAGCTGACCATAAGATTTTTCAAAGTACAATGGGTGATTAGAAGGTGAAAAATTAGTACCTTGTAAAAGGATTATATCAATCTTTTATAATGACAAAAGGCCTTTTTACATTTTTAAGGCAGGTTAAATCCATTTACATTATGAGATAACACCTTAAGACCAATTGTAACTTATTAAGAGCAAACTGGGAGGGGAGGAAAGAGGAGGAAGGATTGGCAGGGCGGGATCTCTTATATCTTCTCTGTCGTTCATCCACATTCTGTCCCAAGTGATATAGTTAGTTGATCATGATTGATCATAACAAACTTTCTTTATCAAATGAAATATGTTCCTTTATGACGGAGGGAAGACATTTTTTTCAAGCTGCCAGATCCCTGAAGGACTGTCACCATCTTCTTTGATCTCAAGGTGAGGAAGGAATAGACTATATAGGTGATGGACGAGGTGTTGCAGGAAGGCATTGTGCTGGCTCAGGTTCTAAAAGTCCAAATTTAACCAGGAGCTCTTTACCCTTATACGAACTGATTGAAGCACTGAGGTTATTGCTTTCATTTTGCATCTTCTTTTTAAAGTGGCCTGGAGAGATATGTGGAAATATTTGTATTTTGGAACCTTCTAATTCTATCTTGGAGGTATTCCTGTATGCATGTAAAATTTCTTCTTTAGTTAGGTAATCCTTCATACATAGAATTATATCTCAAGGTGGTTTATCAGCAGTTGGTTTGGGTCATAAGGCCCTGTGGATTCTATCACATGCAAAGGAGGGTAGTGGTATCTCAGGGAGGCAAGTATGAAATAATTTGGATACTGCAGGCATTAGCTTAATAACAGACTCTGGAGTACCTCGAACCTGCAAATTGTTGCGGCGATTTCTGTTATCCAAGTCTTCTACATGAGAATTTAAATAGGAAAAGTTCTCAGCCAGCAGTTCATGTTTCTTCCTGAGATCATTGTGGGCTAAAGAAAGCTCATGTTTAGTCTCCAATATGTCTGTGTCACTGCCCAATGCTGCAATTTCTTGAGTAAGAGTGCTAGTAATTTTATATAGTTCCGTTTGTATTTTATCAGCTAGCTTTTCATATATGGCAGATAGACTAGCATCTATGTCAGCAGTAAACTGACCGGAGTACTCACTGTCCCTATGGATGGTAGTAGACTCAGCTGAGGATCCTCTGGAGGCTGCATGGGCCCGCTCTGACTGGGCGCCATGTTGGGACATACCCTCCTTCTCTTTGGTGCGGAGTAAATATAAATATGTGGTTAGTGAGTGCTGTGAAGGGCGACCACGCACCTTCTTGCCTGACAGCATGCATAGGGGTGTACCACAGGGGTGCTGATGAAAATCAGTGGAAAACAAGGTGTTGTTGCCCTGGGAATCGACCCGTTGGACTCCGAGTCTAACGGAGCTACCGCTGGAAGCATGTGTCCCTCATCGCGTCGTGCAATTTCCCCATTGCTGGGACTTAATCTTATGCCACAGACGCTCAAGAGCCTGGCTATGTTAGACATAATGTCTCTTCTGTTCAGTCAGTGTTTGCAAAACCCATAGCCATCCTCAACTTAGCAGCCTAGGAGTCACTCACCCCACTTTTCTCTCTCTCTATCTCTCTGCCCTCGTGAGACAGAATAGCCCAGAGGAATTTCCCCATACACCAGAAATCAACATCTGTACACATTGTAATATCACACACATACATAACCTAGCATCTTTTGTCATAGCAACAGTAACTCTCTTCAATCTATGTCAAATATACCCTGGTAGAAACACACTACAGATATCATAGGGAAAATTATTTTTCCATGGACCCCTGTCCCATGCTACTAAAAGGGAAACCAAAGGCTACAACACCCATACAACTACAAAACTGCAAAAAACAGTAACAATACCCATTAAATATATTTCATGATATTTTTTTTTTTTAAATTAACTAATCAATACATTGGCCACACTTTGCCATGGGCACTTCTAGCATGTTCTAGGGCTATGTGCATTGTGTTTATTTACCACCCCCGTTTATAGTTTTATATAAAAACAAACCTTGGATACCATAGCCGAGTTATGTAGGCAATGTGTCACACTTGCTGAAAGTAACATGGTAAAGCACTGTCAATTGAGTTAACACTCCCATTTAAATGATTAGGAGTTTATCTTGTATTTTTTAATGCACTGCTGTACACAGGTACAACAGTGATGTCATGAATACACATTTTCAATAAAGTTGCATTGCATATACAATGCCATAGTGGATGCTCAGCCATGTCCGTGCCCTCTTATGGAGTACCAACACAGTGACACTGTGACTATTAAAAGTATAAAAACAATTAACAATGCAAGTTAAATCAGCAAATCTCCTCCTGCATTGTCTCCCATCCCAACCTTGTGGAAAAAATGGGGATGAAGAGCATCAAAGAAGGCAGAGAACCCAGCAACCTGAATAACTTACTTATTCCCATCAGTTATTATTATATCTCTAAGTATGATACTTTTCTTTGTGTGATCTGGAAACCTGGAAAGGGGAGTATGGATAACTCCTGGCAATGGCCAAGGTGACACCAGTTAGGTCTGTGATTTGGTGTTTGCATATGATGACACCAGCTAGGCCTCTGAGTTGATGTTTGCATATGATAACTTGTTATTGATCCAGTCAAACACATGGAGAACCAGACTTGCCAGCATGTATAGCCTAAATCAGGAAGGTTTTTTCCAATTACTTTTGCTGGAAGTCTGAGTATGCGTAACAAGTATTTAGGTTTTTTTTTTTTCGTTTCCAGATAAAGGCATGGAAAGCTGAATGTAATTTCTGTGTACTCTTATGTTTCAACATAATTTCTAGTATTAAAAAGAACTTTGAACTAAGCATGAACATTTAAGGACAAGCCCTGTCTGCACTGGCGGTAATAACAAATGGCTGGGAGGTGCTTAGGTAGGTTGGGTATTTTACAGTAGCTGCAGGAAGCAATGCAGAATAAATGTCAGGAATTGCAGTGTGACCATTTAGATTATATATGCTACTTTTACATAAATTCCACTTCTGTATTGCTGGCACCTCCTACTCTGGTGGCCCAAGTGTGCTGCACTCGAATTTGGAAATGTAATTTAACCTACTGCCCCCTCCCTTGAAACAACTGCATAGGTTCTGTTCACTATAATGTATCCTTCTCTTAGCCCATCCCAGCTGAATGATTATACATTTTTTTAATGTAAACACTATTGAAATACACACTTGTTTAATACAACAGGATCCAAGGAGCAGTGTTGTTAATATCTGCAAGTTCCTGGGAAAAGATCTGGATGCTGCTGCCATAGATTCAGTGGTAGAACATTCTTCCTTTAAATCTATGAAAGAGAACAACATGTCCAACTACAGTGCAGTCCCGAATGAATTCTTCGACAAGGAAAAAGGATCATTTTATAGAAAAGGTAAAGACACTTCATTGTTTTCAGGTGCTTCTGAAATGTTATAGGGTAACATCCGTGGAATACTAGTTATGCCTTGACATAAATGTACTCTTGGGGGTAGCCATGGTCTTATTTTACTGACATTTTCATCAAAGTCAGCAAAATAATAATATTTTAGAGATTTTTTTTATTTAAAGCCTAGGTTTAGTCACAAAAAAACAAAAATCAACACAAGAGACAATACTTACAGTCAATAGGACATGTCCCTTGTACTGCTGGCTCCCATATTAGCTGAAATCCTCCTCGCCCAATCCCACCATACCCTTTTCAACACAATCAGAGGAAGACTGCAGCCAATGTAGCCAGCTAAGGGACTCAACAAGCCACAAAACACATGAGATTGACTGTAAGTAATGTTCCTTGTGCTGATTTGCTTTCCATGTGTAACTGAATTTAAGCTGGCCATAGATTGTACCCACGTTGATCCATCAATCAACTTCTGTACAACACGCATGCTGAATTTTTACATGCGATTATTGCCAGCCACCATCAAAAATCAATGCATTCTCCCAGCAGAGATGTCTCCATGTGCCCCCCACCCACTGGGAGATCACAATAGCTCTGCTAGAGGATTCCCCCATTAAAACCAACTGCATAGATGGGGGAATTGAGTTGATTGGGTGCAGGAAAGAAAATTTAATTATCAATGTTTCATCATCAATGGCTTAGTTTTAGAAAGATTGAGTTTGAGGAAGTGGAGTGACATCCATGCCGATATGTCACTTAGTAAGTTAGTAATGTGAGAGGAGACTGAAGGGGTGAGGTGAGGAGTAGAAAGATAGATTTGTGTGTCATCAGTATAGAGATGGTACTTAAAGCCATGGGAGTTTATCAAGTGACCAAGGGAGGGGGTGTAGATGGAGAAGAGAAGGGGTCCAATGACAGAACCTTGAGGGACCCCTACAGAAAGAGGAAGTGGAGAGGAGGAGACAGAGTTATAGGTAATGCTGAAGGAGTGCTGCGATAGGTCGGAGGAGAACCAGGAGAGAGCAGAGTCTCAGGGGCCAAGAGAGTGGAGTTTTTTTAGGAGGAGGGGATGGTCAACAGTATCAAAAGCTGCAAAGAGGTCAAGTAGTAAGAGTATAGAGTAGAGATTGTAGTGGTTTTAGCACTTAGTAAATCATTAGTGAGTTTTAGTAGGGCAGTTTCAGTGGAGTGGAGTGAGCAAAACCCAGACTGTAAAGGGTCAAGAAGGTTGTTGTCAGTGAGGTAGGAGCTCACGCGATTGTAGACTAAGCTGCTGGGTCTTAACTTGTTCAGGTTGGTGGGGTCCAGCAAGGGCTTTTTAAGTATGGGTAATGTGTGCATGCTTTAGAGGGGTGGGGAAGGCACCATTAGAGAGGGAGAGATTGAAGATGTGAGTGAGGAAGCATAGGATAGAAGAAGAGGGTGACCCTAGCAGTTGTGAGGGGACAGGATCCAGGGGACAGGTGGTGAGACGGGCTTCTGAGAAAACTTTAATGACCTCTTCAGTAGTAACAAGGTCAAAAGAGGAAAGTGTTGAGAGAGGTTTAATATAAGGTATGTTAAGTGGGATAGATGTCTGTGCAGTGGAAATGCCCCTACAAATTGCATCAATCTTGTGTTTGAAATGATTTGCAATCTCGTAAGCAGTGAATGAGGTACTGGGTGGAGGTGGAGGTGGAGAAAGTAGAGAGTTAAAAGTAGAGAAGAGACGACAATGACTGGATGACAAGGTATTAATAAGAATGACAAAGTAGGCTTGTTTGGCAGCATGGAGGGAGGAATTGTATGTTAAGAAAGCAGATTTATATAGGGTAAATGCTTGGTGAGATCTGGTTTTACGGCAAATCGCTCCAGTGCACAACTATGTTGCTTAAGATTTTTGGTGTTGTCAGTCTGCCATGGTTGTAATGGTCGGGGCCTGATACTTCATGTAGTTAGAGGAGCTAGTGAGTCTAGTGTGGATGAAAGCGAACTATTGTAGATTCTGTCATAGAGGCAGTCAGTTGCAGAGTGGAAAAGAGAAGGGTTTAATTTTTTTTTTTAAGTTTCTGTGGGTAATTCTTTGCTGCTTGGAGGGATAGGTGTTTGAAGACGAGGACACTATAAAGGTGATGAATTGTGTTCAGATAGAGAAATGTTGGTGTTTGTGAGCTTGTAGGGAGTACAAAGATGGGAGAAAGCAAGGTCTAATGTATTCCCATCAGAGTGAGTGGAGGACTGTGTCCATTGTGTTAAGGCAAAATATGAGGTTAGGTTGAAGAGTTGGGATGTAGCTGGGTTGTTAACATTAATGGGGAGAAAATAGGGTAGCCAGGCAGAGAAGTCATCAAGAAAGCTGTCCAGGAGGCCAATAGATCACTGCAATCCTCAGAAATAGGAGAACACAGCCGAATGCAGTGAGCCTCGAAAGAAGAGAAGAATAGAGAGGGAGGGTTATGGAGGACTTGAAAGGTGCCAGTGTGGATAGAAGCAAACCAACTCCAGCTCCTTTCCGACCACTGGGTCTGGGTGAGTGAGTCCAGAGAAGGCCTCCATAGGAAAGTGCTGCAGAAGAAGCAGAATCTGCTGCTTGAAATCAGGTTAAGGGAGTGGGAAACAAAAAGGTCATGGACAGAGGTGAGCTTATTACAGACAAAACGGGCATTCCAAAGGGAGGGTGGTTTTTAGGAGCATGGGGATTGAGATTAAATTGAGTGGATTGCGGTTATTCCTGAAGGAAGGAGGGTGCCTGGTGTGGGGGTGAGATAATGGAGGGACCAAGGTTTGGGGAGATATCCCCAGAAGTTAGGAGAAGGAGGGTGAGGAAAGTAAAGTGGGATGTATATGAGTGCACATGCCTTCCTGTCCTGGTGTTTGGGTCAGCAGATGAAGAAGTATCAGCAGGAGGTGATGAGAGCAGTAGTAGGGAGATGGTAGAAGTGAGGGTGATATGTAAGCTTTGGAGTGGAGCAGAGGGGTAAAGAAATAAGATTTTGATAACGGGATAGTAATATGAAAAGTAAGAGTAGAGGGGGCATATTATAAAGGTACATGGAGTGGGAATCAGTCTTGTAGGAGATATTTCCCAGGGTGTTTGCTTGCAGTCCATCCAGCGGGCAGTAGAGTTCTTTGTTGTATCTTCCTGCTGCTTGAGTTATCCTGCTTTAGTTAAACTGCTGTGTTCAACTTCTGCTTCGCACTACAGCAGAAAATTCATTCAATTAAACTGCTGTGTTCAACTGCTGCGTCACACTCCAGCAGAAAATACACTAAGTTACACTGCTGTGCTCAGCTGCTGCTTCACACTCCAGCAGAAAAAGCACTCCGTTAAACTTCTGTGTTCAACTGCTGCTTTGCACTCCAGCAGAACATGCACCCACACAAGAAAAATGCCCCCCATCTGTGACCTCCCCCATAAGCTGGTCTAAATATATAGGGAGATGATCAAATGAGCAACTCTTCTCCGCCCCAATTAGGGACTGATAAGGATCACATGAATTTAAGGGGAGGTTGGTCAAAACCAGACCAGCCACACAGACACAGGCCAAAGTCATAAAAGATGATTGATTCTCTGATCACAGAAAGGCAAAAGGAGGTGAGAATCAATCACCACAAACTGACAAAAAGATATAGACTAATTATACTGAGTTTTGCAGAAAGTCAGTGCATTGCAGGGAAACAGTTTAAGGTGGAGATGAGACAGTAGCATTTACCTGTTTGAAAAGGCAGTTAAGGTGGAGAGAGACATGATCAGGGGTCTGTATTCAACTGCTGCTTCACACTCCAGCAGAAAATGCACTCACGCAGGAAACATTCCCCCCTTCTGTGATTGTGCCCCCTGTCTGTGCAGTATACATTTAACCTGACAGTCTGTAATACATCAGCTGGCAAGTGAGCTGTCCGCCCATCTGAACTTGAACAATGATGATAACCAGACCAATTCAACACGTTTTGGAATTAATGTTTCCTTCTTCAGGGAATAAATATGTCAGGTCTATAACATAACAAAACATCAAATAGATACATATAACATAATGAAAAGTATACAATTCAAAATGTGCAAAAATGGCTGATTACTCATGGATTTACAGATTACACTGCATCAGATATTGTTTCAGGATTGTCACAGAAAATTGGGTGAAGATGCCTCCCAGATGTCACATCTGGGGGGAAGGGCAATGCGCCTTGGTAAGATGCCCATCAGCAAGGACCACACTACAACAACCAATAAATGGAGAAATTAAAACTCTATAGAGTAATAATAATAATATAAGATAAGAAAAGTCCAGTAATTACTAGTCTCCTCAAGAGTACTAAATTATGTGTGGCCCAGGGGAAAAGATTAATGCAGAAACTCTGAAAAAATATCCTTATCAATAGCTGGATGTATTAACAGCGGGCAAGCTAAAGACAATAAACAGGTGAAAACCCACCAAAGTGTGGATGAAAGAATATTATATAAATTTTGGTCAAAAATATTGCTCACCACTTGTAGTATTGTGATATCTTGTAGGGCCAGGCTACGTTTGTCTAGAAAGAGGCCAAAGACATAGAATGACTGGTTTTTGCCTTACAAAGTCCCAGGGGAATATCTGTATATCTATTTGATCTTTTTCAAGGAAGTAGTTTATCAGTATATCAGCTTGTTTAAGGCAATCAGAGGTATTGGAACAGTTCCTACGAAGCCAAAAGAACTGACTATAGGGGTTATATGACTGGGGCATGGAGGCAGAAGATGGCCGCTGGAATGCACACCATCAAAGCAGCGTGTGCTCAAAGGGACAGAAAGTGTGTCCACAAGATGTACGTCCCACTGATGTCACTTCCAGAACCGAAGATGATGTGGTTAAGTGCGGACAACTAGAGAAAAAAAGCACAACATTCCAATCCAAGGCAAAGCTTTTCCTCCACTGACCGACAACACAATACACAGGATTGAAGCCACATGCATGTGATCACTGATGTAAAAGAAAAACATATACAGTTGCAAGAAAAAGTATGTGAACCCCTTGGGATTACGTGGAGTTTTGCATAAATTGGGCATAAAATGTGCTCTGAA